TGTGTTTGGCGTTGTAATCACCTCCAGCGACAAATCTCGGCCCCAAAGAACGGAAATAATCAGCAAACTCAGAATTTTTGATGGTGTGTCTTGGTGGACAGTAGACGGCTGACAAAGTAAATTTGTTAATTGAATCGGATACCACGATGGATGATGCTTGCAGATATTCCTTTGAGTAGGGTGAGGACTCATGATGCTTGATATTTGCCTTTATCAGGATTGCAGCGCCACCGTGGGCTTTGCCATCTGGGTGCATAGTGTGGTACAGGGAGTACCCTTGTATTTTGAAATAGCTTTTGCTTGTAAAGTGGGTTTCTGAAATTAGCATTACATCTATTTTTTTTATTTTTAGGAATAATTTTAACTCCTCAGAGTGATTTGACAGGCCATTTGCATTCCACACACATATATTTAGTGGTTGGAATGTGAAGTCAATTTTGACGTGAGTTCTGTTAGCAGTTTTGTGACTATTAACATCTGATTCATAACAGCTTGCATTGTTTCATTTAACTTTAGCAAGAAAGATTAAGTTGTTTGTGTGTCTGTGTTGTCTTTTGTTGGTATGTTGTTTTGTACTATTTCGCTATATGTTGGGTTAGTTGCTCCAGTTGGCCGAGTTATTTTTGAATTTAGGGGTGACTTTAAGGGTTTCTTTGGAGGTGGGGCTGGGTATTTCATTTTCTGTAGCTCCTTGTAGACTTTACAACCTTTGTAATTCGCAGGATGGTTACCGTCACAGAGGATGCACTTCACCTTATCGGAACGTTCCTTCGTGGAGCAGTCAGATGTGCGATGAGAACCTGCACATTTAACGCACTTTGGTTGTCTATGGCAAAATTTTTTGGTGTGTCCATATTGCTGACAATTAGAGCATTGTGGGATGTCCCGTTTGGGTCTAGGAGCCTCAAAGGTAACTCTACAATTGAGTATGCTATTCAATTTATAAATATCTTTATTATTAGCCTGCGGTTTTAGGTCGATAAAGAACATGCTGAGCGGCTTTTTCGTTTGTCCATGTTTGATGTTCCAGATGTTCCTTACTTCATGCTGGAGATCTTCAAGTGCCAATTTGATTTCTTCTAAATCAGTAGAAGGATGCATATGTTTTAGGACTACTCTAAAGCTACGTTCGTCTTTGGGTTGGTAGGTGAAGAATTCAGTGTTCCTTTTTTTCAACTCTTTGTACATAATTTTGTAAGACTCAGCAGTGTTTGCCTGAATTTTAACTCGCTCAGACTGTAGTACTTTAATTTCAAAATTTCCTGGTATTGTAACTTCAAGCATATTAATTAATGGCTGGATGTTACTGACTTTATCAACAAATATTGGCGGAGGCTTATGAGGCTTCTCTACTCTCTCAGAGCTTTCATCTTCAAGGCCGGTAAATCTGTTGGAAGTTGAAACAGGTGCACTCAACCAGTAGCTATTGAGTTTTGCTTGTTTTTGGCTTATCAAACATTGTTCTGGGCTGTGCTGTCTTTTTCGTCCTACAACATCTTCCCAGGGCTCTGCAGCGGTATTGCATTGTGTTTCTTCCTTGTCCAAATCAATTGGCTCACTAGTGTCTTTTACAGGTGACTTTCCACAAGAGTTTGATCTTGGTTTATTTGTGAAGAGGCCTTTGTGAAATATTTGTTTAGTTAAGATTTTAGGTGAATTTGTATTATTGGTATTTACATTTGCCATGTTGTTCCCACGAGTAGGGTCGAATTTCTTAGGTCACTTACAGGGTAACGCCCATTTCCATAAGAAAGCTCTTGTACAACGGAGATTGCCCGATACTCCGAGGTTTGCGCTTGAGACTGGTCTCCCACCAGCCATTCATCCTTTGGGCACGGTCACACCGTAGGATTAGGAATTTTTGAAGAGGTTATTTCCTCACGACCCAGGCAATTAAGCCAAGGTCATCGTTTTCGCTAGACTTGACAACGAATTTACGACCGCTGATAGACATTTCCTTCTATCAGCTTAGTATGAGTTGTTAGCTCATATTGTTCAGGATACTTTACCGCCGCCTGAGACTCGGCGTTGTTACTCGTTTTGCACCACCCGGGGGACACGTGTAGGGTGGGCCTAGGAAAGGTGGTAGTTCCTACGGACGTGAGTAACACCATCCCCCAAATTAATAATTATGTTCTGCAAAAAAAACACAACTTACCTTTAATAGTTTATACAACATTTTAATAATTTATAAAACATCCTAGTAATATATTTAAAGGTCAAGCCACAGCCCACTGAAGATTTTAGCAGAATTTAATATATTAATTTAAAAATAAGAAAAACTATCACTAAGATCATTAGAAAATTACCTATTATGTTAAAAAACCCTACTTCATTACTTGTTTATTCAACTTGATTGAACTGAAATTAAAATAAATGAATTGAATAACGCAACGTTTGAATTAACACATCCCCGTCAATTCGCCCCGTGTCAATGCAGTTCCATATAGTTCAATATACACATGTAATAATTATATAGAAATAACTGTTAAAAAAGTAGAAAAACGTATGTCATCATCAACAACCTTAATAGTCCACTGCTGGACATAAGCCTCTCTTCAGAAAGGAGGTTTTGGCCTACTATACCATGCTGGCCACATGGGTTGGTATAGAGTTTGTTTCAAGTTTTTCTTCTCTTGGCATTGCTGTTGTCATACATAGTTTGCTCCCTTAGTCGGCTCTTAAGACACCCTCGGGATGAAAAGAACACACGAATAATGTATATAGATTCTACTATACAAATATAAATAAATAGTTACTAGGAAATTTATTGAGTTTTAGTTAACTGCTAAAAATAATATTAACTTAATACTAATATGTTATTGATATCTTTAACATAATTAGAAAGTATACGTATATTATAGAATATCGAATAATTCAAATGAATGAAATCCATCTGCGATGGGTGCTATAAATGTACCTTTTTTTTTTTTTTTTTTTTTTTTTTTTTTTTCCGTGCGGAAATCCCCTCGGATACCACCTGTCGGTGGCATGTCGGACTCGAACCGACTAAAACCGCACGCCTTCGCCGGGTACTAATAGCCGGGGAACCAGGTATACCCTAGAAAGGAAGGCCCTGGTGCCCCGACATACCTCGGGTCATCTACAGACGAGTAGACGACCCCCGCCCCGTGTGGGAACCCCATGTTCCCTGTGCTCCCTGGAAGCGAGCGCGCTTCGCAACGCGCTCGCCGCCACCCCGGCCTGCTTCTGCTAGGGTGACAGATGGCCTCACCTGTCACCCCCAGGCCTGCGCTTATGGAGGACGAAGGTCGTTCTGCGACCTCCGGCGCCTGAGTCGCCTGCGCTGCCTGGCCCGTGCCCGGGCCTGGCGGGCCGGGAGAGTTCTAAACCTCTCCCGGTCCCGCTCCGCCGTCTCCTTTGCGAGCATAACTTGCTCGCAGAAGGAGACGGCAGAGTTCCACGCACTCTCGCTCCGCACGATAGCCGCAATCAGGCTATCGAGCGAGAGAACTCCCACTCCGATGGCCGCCACGAGGTCTCGCCTCTGCTCAACCCACGCCGGGCACTCTGCCAGCGTGTGGAGAGCCGTGTCCACGGTCTGGCCATCGCAGTGGTGGCACTCAGGCGTTGGCTCCTTGCGGATCAGACACAGGTGATCTCCGAAACATCCCTTCCCAGTGATCACCTGCGTCAATCGGTATGAGAGGGTCCCGTGACGCCTCTCGAGCCAATCCTCCATAACGGGTCTTACCGCCGCAATGACGGCGTGCCCGGCTATAAATGTACCTACATACTAGTACGTACAATACAATAGTACATACTGTAAATGTTGTTATATTAGCGTTTTACTAATTTATTTTTTCTTAGCCCTATAATCACAACATTATGTTATTTCTGAAAACATTATTATTGATACATATAAAATTCATTCTAAATTAATGATTTGTATATGTTTTCCTATTAATATAACATCTTCCAAACCCGGACATAACATTTAAAATTCTTGTGAAGTATTAAATAAGCTAAATAACACTGTTCAACTTTGTTGAAACGGCCATACAAATCATCATCAATTACGAAACAAGAACGTTTGTCATTTTGTAATAATATTCAGTACTAACTACTCACTATTATCTGGTTATTTCTGTATTGAGGGACAAGTGATAGTGCCAATTTGGTAATTACTGTAAGCAAGAATGACCTTTGAATTACATTTCATGATAGGTTAAATGGGTTGAAAATACTCTAAATTGGACTGGTGTTAATGTAAGTTCAATTATACGTCCCTAATATAGTTTTAGTTGTACAGAGATAAATAGCGAGAGAGAGATTAAGAAAGGAGACTGGTACACAGTTGGTCTTATATGTCTATAAAACATTTTTAATCTTTGTAAAGGCCCTTATCGGACTCTTTTAACGCGAAAATTATAGTATAAACATATTCAAACAAACTACAGACTACTTTTTAACAAGCGTGATGGTTTTCACGAACTAAACATCTGAGGTCCTAGTGTGAGTTTATTCTACATCACCAATCGCAAACACGCTCGCCATCGAAAGACGGCGAGCGTGTTTGCGATTGGTGAATATTTCAGTACGGGCCATCGCAACGCCGACCGCGGTCACCGTGACGATCGAGTTGATGTGAAACTAACTCACACTAGGCCCTCACCTCTCATTTGGTGTTGAACGCAATATGTGAAAAATTAAAATAATATTTAAATATGATTGTAATGCAAAGATATATGATAATGCAAAGAAGTTTATTGATCTATTATGTATCTTTTAATATTAAAAGTAGCCGTAAAACATAGCGTTGATTTAAATCTAAGTGTTACTTTTGATTGGCTGAGTTTTCAATGAAGCCAGATAATGTATGTACTACTATGTATAATATTATGTAATATAACTATGTTGGGCAAAGTAATTACGACTGTAGTTGATGTAGCGTCAAAATAACTTGATGATTATATTATAATGAAAATCCTAGTTAACTTGACCTGCAAGCCTTGACATTATGGTCTTCTGTTGCGCAGGTAAAAGGTGTTCGTCTCAACGTCTGCCTGGCTATGGTCTATATGGCATTTGTCACTGTACATCTAACTAGTTGCCTTGGTGCGCAAATTAAAAAAAATACATACTACAATAATGGACTTGGGGCGTACAGCTTTGAGTAAGTTTTATACCTAATGACTTTCAGCATTGCAATATTGTAGTAGTATATTTACAGGTATTCTTAAGTTTATTTCGCTCATTTACCTAATAAGAAAGATTTACCTAATAAATAGGAAACTTTTTTAAAGTAGAAGGTATTTTGATAGTAATAATTTACGTAAAATAGCAGATAATAATAAAATTTTATTGCTATTAATAAAATATTTTTCAGGATGAGATATCAACTAAATCCTTATATGCTTTGCTTACCTTGAATACTTATTTTAATAATTCTTGAAATACTATAAATTTACCATTTGAAACTGGAATCAAGAAGTTTTTAAAACTCTTCGATGACAGTAAAAGCCCGTTATACTTTCCGTGTTGCGGTTTTGATTCGAGAAAGAACTGATATTTACAGCTTAAGTAGTATTATTTAAATTTCGTGTTTAAAAAGTAGAGTACTGTATTAGAACACTTGTTACAAACTCACGACTTTCTAATTTTGTTTCTACGAACTTTGAAGTCAAACATTGAGCATTTCAAGTTCAAGAGAGTAAATATATTTATAATTTGGTTTGTTGTTAGTACCTACTACTAAACGTTACAGGGATATACCATTTAAGAATTATAAAACTCATGTTCGACTTAAGATCAAATTTCAAACATAATCAGTACCTTTATTTTGAAAAAAAGACTTGTATTTTTTAATATCTCTAAAGTTCGTTGATAGCTATTAACTAAAAAAAAAAAGTAAATCGGTTGAAAAACATAGGCCAAACTGGTTCTTCACTATGCAGCGCGCACAGCTATTGGTTAATAAATTTATAGCCTACCATTTTTAGTCTTAATAGTCTTATTTTTTTTTACTTTTTTACTGCGCTGGTCCAAATTGAGATATTTATTAAAAGGTCAAAATTATGTCAAAAACCATAAGGAAATACATATTTAAGCCAACTGACGGTGGATGAGTATTTATAAGGCTGTTGATGGGATTGATAAGTGGTAGCCTGGGTAATATTTTGTTAAATTGTTCGGTGAAACGAAGAGGTTTATGAAATCATAAAAACGTAAATAGAGATTTTATCAGGAAAAACATTATCTACCCACCGAGCTGTCTAACATTACCTATAGTTTCTGGTTACTATTATTTTTCTTATATTATGAAACAGTAGCCAGTATTGCCTATTGGGATATTGTTCTGAAATACAGATATGTGGATGAGCAATATTGTATTGACACGGATCTATTGACGGTTAAGGCTGCTACAACTAACTCTTTTAAATAATAGTTATGAAATAGTACTCATATATTATTTCCTAATAAATGTTTATACACAATAAATGATACCAATTACTTGTAAAATAATAATCAATAGGAATCGCAAAAATTTAACCGTATTAATATGGAATGAGTTTGTAGATATAAACGGTGAATTCACAAATTTCTTATAGATGTACGTCATGGCGAATGGGTCATTTGGCTATTTATTAAACTATATTGACCAATATAAAAATAAAAGTGATGTCATATATTCACAAAATATTTCATTAAAAGAACATAATTCAAAACCATATATCTACTACATATTTGTTTGTTATGCTTTCACGCTTAAATCACTAGATCGATTTTAAAAATTCTTTCACCAATGGAAAGCTACTTTATCGGCACTCGCTGTGTAGCTTTAAATTGGTGGAAGATCGCGGTAAGAAGTAGCCTATGTTTTATGCTATTTTTTACCGCGATAATCGACATACATGCCAGCGGACCCACGGTCAAAAGCTATTGAAAAAAATTATATGGAGATTATAATTTATTTGCTACACGTAAAAGAGTGTCAGTTATAATGCCACCGTAAATTAATGATTTCATTTAGTTGAATTAATCGTTTTCCACGCTGTAATTATTTTTTTGTCCATTGTACAAAAGTATTTAAAAATAAATATTAATCTTAGATGGGTGGTAGGTAATTGATGATGTTAAATATATTTATGACGGTAGTAGGATGATATAAATAAGGAAAAAAAAGAGTTCAAAGCAACAGACTTCATTATTTAAAAAAAAAAGTGTTATATCAAAATAGACATGTAAACTTTTAATACATACTATAATGTATCTAAAAATAGATTTTGCTATTTATTAATAAATATTTTTCTTCTTATTCACAAATAAACTATTTGTTTTTAACTCTTTATTGTTTTTATTCTCATAAGTATCTTACATGAATTCATAACACTTACTTAATGAAACCCTACGTGATATCAAAGGTTAACTAGAGACATTTTTGACATTTAGACAAAATTTTGACTCTTGAATACTTACTACTATTACTTAAGTATTAAGTACTTATTAATACTTACTTATATTTTAGAGAACGTAACTCGTAAAAAAAATGGTTAGGTATTAACATAATTATGAAACTGAACACATTTTTACCTTAATTTTTAGAAACACTTAAATACTTATGTCCTCCAAATATTCCTGAAATTTATTGGCCAATAATGGTCTACGTTAGTCAAATATAGACAAACACTTTTAGAAATATAGTTGTCTAAAATTACTAATCATGTTTAAATTATACCAGGTATGAAACATCAGATGGCAGCTATAGAAGAGAAGAGGGAGGTCTGGTTTCTAAAGGAGATACTCGTTATCTGGTGGTACGAGGAGAATACGGTTATAAAGACTCGCAAGGAAAGAAGTTTTCAATGACGTACTTAGCTGATGCTAATGGTTACCGGCCCAGCATCAATAGCAACCACATCAGATTCAACGATAGAAGAATTATTTGAAATACTACTAATAAATTATTCTAAATGTGTTGTTTCGTATTTAATAATAATATAAACTTACTATTTCGTATTCAAGGTTAGTGAATTTTCAGCAAATGGGTGTATCTCAATTTGCATGTGTGTACATGATATCTATCTAATTTAAAATTTCACGGCAATTTTACTATATCTTTGACCCTAAAATTCATTAGATTTTGAACTGAATCATGCAGTAATTAATACAAATGCTAATGATATGATTACAGTTTTTTTTTATTTAATTGGTTGTAAAGGTCAAATTAACCATTTTAATTAGTCATGCGTAGCAATCGTGAGTTCGTTTACTAATTTTTACCTAATTGATTCCCTTGTTAGATTCAATGACTTTTACTGTGATATTTGATCTAATACTTCCAACAATTGTTATCTTAAAACATCACATATCTCTGGGTAATTAAGATGTGACTACATAACAAACAAACAGTCTCATGACAGCATTCACGTTAGCACTATAGTATAGATATAAAATAATTTATTTAGTATATTTTAACAAAACCCTTATGGATTCGTCATGTCTGTCCGTCTGTCTGTCCGTCACAGTGGACAAGCAGCCACTTTTTTCCGAAACCATAAGAACTATACTATTGAAACTTGGTAAGAAGATGTATTCTGTGAACCGCATTAAGATTTTCACACAAAAATAGAAAAAAAAAAAAAAAAAATTTTGGGGTTCCCCATACTTAGAACTGAAACTCAAAAAAAATTTTTCATCAAACCCATACTTGTGGGGTATGGGGTATCTATGGATAGGTCTTCAATAACGATATTGAGGTTTCTAGTATCATTTTTTTCTAAACTGAATAGTTTGCGCTAGAGACACTTCCAAAGTGGTAAAATGTGTCCCCCCCCCACCTGTAACTTCTAAAATAAGAGAATGATAAAACTAAAAAAAATATATGATGTACATTACCATGCAAACTTCCACCGAAGATTGGTTTGAACGAGATCTAGTAATTAGTTTTTTTTTAATACGTCATAAATCGTAAACCACATTTTACCCTTCATTCAATCAAAATGCAATTCGATCAAAATTACAACGACCTACAAGAACTTTCATGTAATGTTACTTGCTGCTACGGAACCCTTCATGGGCGAGTCCGACTCGCACTTGGCCTTTTTTTTTTGTGAAGTTGCTATCACTTTCAAGTTTGTACTTCCTACTGTTGCTGTTTTTCCCTGTTTTATAATCTAACAAAATCACAACTGAAAATAATAATAATATCAAAAAGTAGCACTCAAACACTCACTCATAAAATACATCAAAACACCTTATTATAAATATAAACCATAAACTATTCTAGAAAATGACACGCATAAAAATACTACGACCGCGCTATGCTTACAGATAAAACGATACATTTCAATAGACCACACATAACCCTACCAGACAAGATTAGGAAAATCACATACCTTATAGATATTGCAGTCCCGAGCACACTAACATATACATAATTTACAAAAAACAATATCCGAAAAAATAAGCATGTATGTTGACCTGAAAGAAGAAGTGCTCATAATATGGAAACAACATAACGTCTACATAGTCCCCATAGTCCACTCCACGACTGGTAAGTTTACAGAAAACCTCTATATTAAACACATGTAGAATCGTTAGAAAATTTATTGAGTTAGATGACACCACACCAACATAATGTACACACCACATGCTGTATTTACTTGGTTTAGGCCCGTAAATAGGGTGGAACCAGCTAAAAAGCTAAGAAAATAAAAATCAAAACCCAAAATAATAATAATATTGTACCACATTCAGTCTCTCTCTCTCTCTCACTAAACTAGACTATCTCTCTCACTAAACGCCATCTAGTCCCAAACTAAGCAGAGCTTGTACTATAAGTTCTAGACGACTGATATAAATACATATGTACTTTTTTTTTGTAAATACATACATATTATACATAGAAACACCCAGACCAAATAAAAAAAATTCACGCACACAAATGTTTTAATTGAGCGGGAATCGATCTCGCGACCTTTGGAAAAACAGTCCGTTACAAAAACCACTACGCCATCCGGTCGTCAAAATAATAATAAATATAATAACCCTAGACAATTTAAAGACAGAGACAAGACTATATCCCTCCATAATAATATATTAAAACGCGATGTTAGTTCGTTGTACTTATTTTTAAGCTAATTTCACAAACTTAGTGGTTTAATTTTAATGGTTCTCAAAGTAAGTACGAGTACAATAAAGGAAAATCAATGAAATAAAACAAAATATTTAAAGTTCATATCTATGTATTAATATCTCTACTTATTATGTAGGAGTAGGTACAATAACAGTTTTTACTAAAAGCTCCACTCACGTGAATGTAAGTATTTTTTTTTAAATTAGGTGTATCTTACTAACAATACTTTTTTCCAACTAAAATATATTATATGTCCTGTTTGGCATCCCTTAAAATACGTGTGTAAAATTTCAAGATGATCAGTTGAATACATAAATAATGTAGGTAAGTGTGATCATTAAACAAGAAACTATCCACTAAATGGATTACTGAATCTATAGCCCAGGATTATAAATAAAAAAAAAAACTACATTACGCTTACCAAGTACTGCTATTTCCTAAGCACTTCGGAAACAAGAGTAAATTACAATGTTGATCACTACCCTGTGAATCTGGAATGACCTGAATCTGAAGACAATCATAAATCCGCCATAATTAGACGTACCAAATATCTATTAAAATAAATAAATCCTGCAATTTAGAGGTATTACCTACCAAGTATAGTACACACTAACTCGAAATGTCAATTTTTTCTTGAGTCGTCTAAATCAGCAGTTTTAGACTGATAAACCTTTTAAACTATGAATATGTAAAAATATGAATTTTTCAGTTTCCGGAAGAAACTGAAAAATTCATATTTTTACGAAATTTCGAAATGTCAATTTTTAATACGTTTCCTACAATTATTGCTATATAGGTACTATACGCCTTTATAAAGTTGGGTGTAATAAATTTTCAATACCTCGTAAAATTTTCTCATAAAAATGAAAATCATTTATGGCCAGTTTCACAACACCAGTGTCACCACTCGCATACTTTGTAACCCTGATTATTTATCGGACGTGTCATAATTACTTGACTTTCTAAAACATCCTTCGTAATGTTAAAAATTACTAGTTATTATTTACTGCACATACTTGTAGTAAGTAAAGCACTCTGAAATTGTCTGAGATGTGGGCAAAAATAAAACAATGGATCTAAGTTGCAACAATATTTGTATTGCAGGTGCTTAACAGTGTCATCCCAAAATGCAAAAGTGCAATATACACATAGTAAGTAAGATATTACTTTAATTTGTAATCGTTGTTTCGAGTTTTAATTTCCACGAGTAGCTGGCTTTCACTTTTAAATAGCAACAATCTGGGATTCAATAGATTATAAATCACTGGATATCATTTTACAGCAAAGTAAAGTAGTGAAGAACAATCAAAGTGCTATTCAGTGTAGAATTTACGAGGCAATAATTCTGCTGGGTGTATTGTGACACATGGTGTCAAAGATCATGTATGGTAATTTTAACCATACATAAGTAACTAGAATTGATAATAAAATATTGAAAAAACTGAAGTCTGTAACTGAAATATTAATAATTAAAAAAAAAAACATTTTGTAAAACCACAATTAATAATTTTGTAAAACCACTAATGTGGAAATTAATTTTTGTACATTATACTAAATGCTTTATGATTATAGCGAAGATATCGAGCTACGACGGCTGTTCCCAAATGAGTTTCCTCAAGATACAATACGAAAAAGTGGTGCCTTAGATCCAGAGGTAACTTCTCTTCTAATTTTTCAATTTTGACAGATACAATATAGGTTTAGAATAGAGACTCTTAACTTTCGATTCGATTAGCAATGTTCTAAAACCATTAGGATGCCGTTTTTCATATAAAGACCTTAGTCTGAAAGACACTACTCAAAAAAGTATAATGGCTATGAAATGTTATACTGCAACTATGTATTGTATTATACATATGTATATTTAAGTGTAAGTTTACATCAAGCATTCACAGTTCTTTTTGCCGTACTTCACCATCTATTTACATATTAAAACTTAACCAGTCCTGATAAAATTTAGATTATCAGGTAGTTTTAATTACGGCAAGTTCGATTCAGATATTAAAATATCGCAAAAAAGTACAGAAGTAAAAATGTAAATATTGGTTCTTCAAATGTTTTTAAAGTACGTAACAGATTTTCTATAAATGAACTGTATTATGGAAGCACACGAAATCGCGCTTATTTTCAATACTCCATATTTAAAGATTTAAAAATACTAAGCGTCTATTATTTATATTAAATGAATCCAGAAAATAAAATCAAATAACGGTTCATTGATACAATATTGACTTTTCCAGCACCTTGGTCGCTATGCTGAATTAAGCGACTATTTCAAAAATCCGAAAACCACTTACAACAGTCATTTTGAAGAACTAGTCTGCTATGAAAAAGAGGATAAAAAGGTAACTCGGTTCAGTAATTAAAACGTGAAAGTATATGAAACAATCAAACTCACTATAATATTAGTTAGATTTAAGTTGATGATAATAATAACATCACACATCTCACGACTTGGCAGAGCCTGTACTATGGAAACCGGACTACTGATAAACAACTTTATATATTTCTAAATACACACATATTATAGACAAACTACACCCAGGCACAGAACAAATGATCATGCTCATCACACAATATTTGTCCTGGGTGGGATTGAACCCACGACTTCTAACAGTCAGGGTCACTAACCACTACACCAACAGGACTGTCATGATAGTACCAGACACTCATTTACAGGTATGCAGAATAGATATGGAAAGGTACGCTCCCGATGAAGATGCTTACTACATGTCCAAATCACGGGAGAGCCACGTAGATCGACGCAGAGTTTATTGTTTTATGCTGCTTTGTTTTACTGAAGATGAAATTGATAGAGTTGTAGCCTCATTTTGATTACAGAAATTTATCTAACTTATTTATTTCATTTTACACATTTTTATCACCTCAAAAGTACGCCATACTGTACCAACGGCGATCATAGCCATCATTTTGATTTCTATGCTAGTGTTATACCGAACAAAAAATGTGAGATTAATTTTTCACCTTCCAGCTTGCGCAAAATCGTACAGTTTCCTAATAAAAAAAAATCATTAATACCGTGCTTTTACACTAAAATCAAACCTATATTTCATTTATTCATTTTTTTTTAAATTTTGACAACTAGAAACACAATTTTTCTTCTATGAAATTAAATAGATATTGTTTTGCTTCTGGAATTTAGTAAAATTCTCCAACTGTATTAAGAATGCTTACAGTCTTTTCAAACATAAAAATATAATAGAGTCTATATGTCGTCTAAGCTAAAAAACAAAATAGGAACCAAAAAATACTTACCTAAATGTTAGCCTATTTAGGTAAGTATTTTTAATTTTTATAATTTATTTTCAATTTTTCTCAGCCAACTTTGAATTAGTCGTGCATACAAAATAATGTAGTCATATATTACAGATTTCATAAGATATCACAAAAAATGTAATTAAATTAATGTATCCTACTTTATTCTCCTTAGGCAGTTATTTAAGTACCTTATACATAAATATGATTTTCGATTTTCACATGTGACGAGGTCAAAACCTTAACTCCGATTTGTTATAGGTATTATTCCGACAGAATACTTTCTATAACCAAATCATTCAGCCCTATTACACAAGTTGAATAGTTCTACACGGTATTAGATTTTTATCGTTCACGCCTAGACGATACATAAGCATTACATAATCAAAAGACTGCTAAGTCGTGAATCCTTCTTTTGTCTTCAGCCGGATTCTGTTTATCTTCATTCAAATTCTGACAGTTAAAACGTTTCAAACGTGGCTTTCCCATGACCAATGAGGTGTTTCTTTGCAAAATTTCTATAACAAATCACGATGGAATGAAGCAACCAATTCTTCGCAATCAAAAAATTGTTTGGATGTGCCATACGTTCGGATATCTGATCTCGAATGTATAAGCAAAAAACGTGCACACACAAGATTTAATCTATAAAGTATTGGTTGTATTGACGTGATATTTACAAACGGATTAAAGATAAGTAGTCAAATTATTCTATTACAAATAAATAGTTTATTATATCTGGACTCCAAGCATATTTATATCTTTTCTTTCTGCAGTGATGATTTTCTTAGTGATAAAAACGAACACAGCGCTTTGAATATGACAAAACAATACTTTAGTAAATATGAGCAAAGACGGAATTGAGTTTATAGACTAATGATTCGGGTTGAATTACCTATATCAAACAGTGTTTTGAACCCAAGTATTTGAAGTTAAGTCAATAAAGAAACTATTAAAATTAGAAAACAACTGTTTTAAACTTAAAAATTGCGGTAAAAACGCTAAATAAAGTTATAACCCCGATTTTAGCCATTAGTTATAATTTATCAGATTTGTAGAATTAAAATAAAACATAATAATTGTGAACAATCATTTAGATCGGCATGGATATGCCTACAGTAGTATTAAGGTAAGGTAACGTTATCTAGGAAAAGCCTCTATTTCAGAATATATAGGCTAACTATAATAATGAAATATATAAGTATAATAGGCCTGGACAACAAGAGGTTTACTCTTGGTAGAGCTCAATATTTTTTTCTTTCTTTGCAGTTAGGATTGATCCAACTTTGGGGAATTTAGACTAAGTTTCACAACGATATATTTTTTTCATCTACACCGCTTAAGTGTCATCATAATAATAACTTTAACTTAATTTTCAGAATAAATTTTAAATGCTTTTGCGAAAATCTTTTCGCCAACCTTTTGCTTAAGTTACTCACACTCTTTGTGAAGAGATGCGATATGTTTCTGATTCTTATATTAATTTTTTTAGAATCCTGATAAATCAATTTTATAAATATAACAATAATAATAATATTTTCGGACATCTGTCTCACAACGCCATCTAGTTTCAAACTTTTTTACTTTTTTTTTTGTAAATACATACATATTATACATAGAAAACACCCAAACTCCAAACAGAACATGAAACTGTAACTAAGGTTTAAAATAATACATTAAAGGGAGCCTGTGAGTAGTGCCAGTAGACGAACAATTTAGGATCAACTATGTGGTGCGGAAAGATGAGCAATATGTGTTCGAGATATGTTTATGTTTGGAATATAACAGATATAAGAATAGAGAACGAGCAAAAGGAAGATGAATACACTACACAAAAAAGATAATAACTTTTTTCTTACAGAAATAAAACTGTAAAAATAATTTGAAAAAAAGCGTTGGGTTGCCTGTTGTCAATATTAAAAAGCAGCCCACGCTTTTTTTCAAATTTATTTTCTATTTTTTAGTTTGATTTTCTATAGATAGCGTTTTTTTTAGTTTTTTAAAACTATTTTTTTTAAATTCTTTTTTAAATTAGTGTATTGTCATCGGTCCTCGATATATCTACAAAGTTTGAACGAATTCTGACCGTTTTAAGGCAGTCAAAATCACGCCCAAAGGAGTTGGTTACAAACATACAAACAAACATACAAGTGGAGCTAATATAAAGCGTGTAAAAAACTCATAGCGCTGACTTTAAATAATTTTTTAAAAGGGTTAAAAATATGGTGATAAAACCAAAATGACTAGGGGAAGGCTGCGATGATTACACCACATAACTTTAAGGCGTCATATCTAATTGAATAAAAGAAATAGAATTAAAATTGTAATAAATATTTAATCCTCTCTTATCATTAATACGACACTATATTTATTTAAAGTTGAAGTTGAACAGTTTTAGCAATGTGTTCATAAAACTATTTCGCTTTTTGGTTTGGAACACTACAAATTACGTAAATTCGAGTTGCTTGGTTTAATCTTACTGATTACAAGTAATTGTAACTTTGGTATATAACAGAGTGTGGCAAGTTTCATTCTCTCTTTCATGCGTAATACGTTTTCTTACTCTTTTCTGACGTCATTCTAAAAAGAAATGAAACAAAAAGTTGTAAACTAAAGTTTCTTGGATTTTACCAGTTCATTCATATATAGCTTCAATATGGTGGACCAATGATATCAACTAATATAGTGTATCCAATCGTTTATTTAACTTTTGACAGATCACGCACATAAAGTTTTGAAATAATTTTTGATACAATGTACTAGGAATACTGTACTTCATGGACGGGCACCGCCCACTTTGAGTAATAAAACATACAATAAAACTATTGTGATTATCATCACATCAACAGCCTTTAACAGTCCACTGCTGGACACAGGCCTCTCCTTAAAAAGGTTTTGGCCTACTATACCACGCTGGCCAGACGGGTTGATATAGGGTTTGTGTCAAGTTTTCCTTCTCTTTGCAGTGCTGTTCTCCTGTGATTATATTTTATATCAAATCACGTTGAAACCTTTATTATTTACATTGAAATGCCCTAAATGTCTCTGTTTTAATGCATAAATAATTTGCGTAATGAAAACAGTTCCATCGTACCTAGTACCTTGTACCTAGTAATGGGATCGAATGTATTCGCTGCAAATTAATGAATCTAAAATAATCGTTTAGACTTACTGTAGTTGGTTCAAATAAAAAGCATGTGAATGAACTGCGGTACCTACTTGTAATGAACAGGTACAAAATGTTGAAATTCATAGTACTTTAGGGATTAAAAAATAAAACAACCAAAAGAGGTACTGTAATACTATTTTTAATTATAAAGAATCATCTTTTTGTATGACCAGGAATCATCATCACTTGAGTTGACAGTAATATTGATTATCAATTATTGGACAAATAAATTGTCGAATGTAACATCCCGATCCCAATTAGACATTATCACGTTTTTTGTTTTTTCTACAACACTCGCCCAGTTTTCAGGAGTTACTTTTACACACGCATTTTTTAGTAAATCCAGCATTTTTCTTGCGGTGAAAGGAGGAGTTGTATTGTTCCTCGCAGCATATCCTTTAACTTGTGCCCAGATCATTTCAATTGCATTATATTGGCAGTGATATGTGGGAATTCTTAGCCCCTGCTCTGCTGCCATTTCATCTATTACGTATCGTTTTGGCAGCTTCTTTGTTTTTAATATCTTTACTAACTCTACTTTTAGTAGGGACTCGTCTACCTCCTCGCCATTGTCACGGAGCCAGTTTATGATTTCATGTTTTTTGTTGACCTGCGTTGGCATTTTATTAATTTGACAAGAGTGATAGGGTGCATTATCAATAAATATTATTGATGGCTCTTCGAGTGATGTAAGCATTTCTTTGAACCACTTTTCATACACGTTCGAATTCATTTCCTCATAATAATCTCCTGTTTTCTGGGATTTGAAAGCTAATAGAGCGTCTGGCACAAATCCTTTTACTGTTCCTGCATGGCAAATAATCAGTCGTTCGCCTTTTTCCATTGGTACTGCAGAAGTGGAGCCAGCAGTGTTGTCAGTCCAAGTTTTTGACAGCGTTTGATTCGCATCGAGCCAAGTTTCATCTGTGAAAACAACATTCGACCAATCTTCTATTTTTTTCGCTTGTCTTAAAAATTCGCATCGATACAAAGCAATATCATTGCGTTCCATTAAAATTTTTTGTTTGTCACATTTTTGGAATAAGAATCCAATTTCTTTCAATACCTTTGCCAAAGAAGATTTTTGACCACGGAGCAAACCACTATTTCGTAGAGATTGTGTTAATTTTTTTAATGTTGGAATCTCTTTTCTTTTGGTAATAGTCGTATATATGACGACGAATAGCATCAGCGTCAAAATTGTCAACTGCTGTCACTTTACAGGTCTGACGTTTTTTCTTAGGTGTAGATAGCTTATTCTGTCCCATTCCACTGCTGCCGTAGCCTTCTTTTGTTATTTTTGCCACTGTTGGAGCACTAATACCTAATGCTGCTGCAACACGGTCTCTAACTTGAGTCACTGGTATAAGAGGCCCACCATTACGGCTTT